TACGGGGATTTTCTGATTATGTCATACTGTAACCACTTTGGTCTCTCTCTCTCACTACCCTCCCCCCCTCTCTCTCCTCTCTCTCAGTAAAGCTATGTTGTTGCTTTTATTTATGTCTGTGTTTTGGGGTACTAAGTGCATATGGATGAGTGTACCCTGGCAGACTAGAGAAAGACACTATTCCCTGGAGCTGGAGTTGTAGGCAGTTGTGAGCTGCCCCAAGTGTCCTTGAGAAGAGCAACTAGAACTCTTAACTTCAAGAGCCATCCCTCCAGCCTCTTGCTAGCAGGGTGAGTCAGGCAAGCAGACAAAAAGCAAAACCTTCCTTCTTCCATGTCCTTATATAGGCTTTCAGCAGAGGGTGCAACCCAGATTAAAGGTGTGTCTTCCTACCTCAAAGGTCCAGACTAGAAGTGGATTCATCCACTTCAAGCATAAAATCTCACACGGGTGTGCCTTCCATTTCTGGATTGCAGTTCATTCCAGATATATCAAGTTGACAATCAAGAATAGCCACCACAGGATTCCCCCCGCTTTCTTCTGGCTTCTTTGGGCACAGCAAGCATGTGATGCACAGAAATACATACAGGTGAAACATTGGAAGAAGAGGGAGGAGGAGGAGGAGGAGAATGAAGAAGGAAGAAGAAGAAAGCAGCTTTAGTAGACAAGGTATGGAATCAGCCTAGCTGTTCTTTAGCAGATGAATAAAGGAAATGCTATCTATCTATCTATCTGTCTGTCTGTCTATCTATCTATCTATCTATCTATCTATCTATCCATCCCTACCTCCTCTGCTTCCTGGTCACCACCACAAAGTGAACAGACATCCTATACCATGTGCTCCTGCCATGATGCTCTGTCTCACAGGAGTTGGGTCCTATGGTTTTAGACAGAAACCTTTGAAACAATAAGCCAAATTAACCTCTCCTTCTTTTAAGTTAACCTCCTCAGGTGTTCATTACATTGATGGGAGCTGAGTGGCAAGATAACTGAACTGTCAGCCCCTATTGGAAGCTCATTCTGGCCAGTGCATATTGTTGCATGCTGCTAAGACACTGATCTGAGCTAACTTCTCATACACAGAGCTTGTGTGAAAGTTCAACCAAACTTCCTCATTATTGTAGAATATTATTTTAAGGTGTGTTACTTTTGTTTATGCTGTAGAACATTTGTTTAAAGATATAAAGATGTGTTGCTTTTTTGCTGCATTTGTTAAACTCTGTGAAGCTGTGATTCTTTGCCTGTCTAAAACACCTGATGGTCTAATAAAGCACTGAACAGCCAATATTGAGACAGGAGCAAGGGAAGGCACAATAGTGATCCAGAATCTGAGGGTTGATGTTACCTAGACAGTCTGAGACATGCCAGAGTAGTCCACAGCTGGGCAGTGTTCAGAGAGTGAAAGTGAGAGGCTTAAATGGGATATCTCCAAATCCCCCATCTCAGGCCTCAGGGAACCCTGTAGAAGAGGAGGCAGAAAGACTTTAAGAGCAAGGGAAATGGAGAATGCCAAGGAAACAAGGCCTTCTAAACATAGCAGGACTGACACACATATGAACTCACAGAGACTGCAGCAGCATGCACAGGGCCTGCGCAGGTCTCAGCCAGATGGGGTGCTGGCATTGAGAGGGACACTGTAACCCAGAGACTATCTCCTGTTGATAACTGCTCACAAATAAAATCTGTTTTCTCCAAGGGAGTCAGTCTCATTGGATATACAAAACACTCCACGGGCAGGCTCCATACCCAGCCGTATAACACCAACACAAAATGAACTCAGTGGCATTTTTGGAGGTTATTTGTTTCATAATGCTTTGTCATTTTTTTTAACCTTATAGGTCCTTGCTTATATATTATGGTTTCCAGTCTTTTTTTTGTTTTGTTTTGTTTTGTTTTTGTGGGGTTTCTATGTGTGTAAATGTATGCCTCTGGGTCTGTATGCATTTCTTTTGTTTTTTTTCTTTGGCTTTTTTCCAATGTTCTTTTGGTTTTAGTTTGTATTATTATAATTATTATTACTAATGCCTACTTACGTTTTAATGAAAGAGAGAATAGTTATGGATTTGAGTATGTAGGGAAGTGAGCGAGGGGCTGGGAGGAGTAGGGGAAATCATAATCGCATATACTATATGAAAAAAATCTATTTTGAGGTGAGAGACTTTATTGCAAAATGTGTGCTATGGCTTTATGAAATGAATAAATCAAAACATTATAAACTGGTACTTAAATTTCAAATTTACTTTTTCCTGAAATTAGACGACATTTGTGTAAACTATCAGGAAATAAAAAATAAAAATAAGTACTAAAATTCGTACGGTGACAGGTCAGTCTTGCATATTTCTTTATACAGTAGAACTTGCTTTGGAAAATGTAGTTATTCCCTTGAACCCCCGTGGTGCTCCGCTAAAGGACCGACTCTTCCCAGGTGCGGGCAGCAGGTGGCACTGCGTCTCCCATTTTGCCGGCCTTGGTAAAGGGGCTGGGGCACGGAACTTCTGCAACGCTGAGCTGAAGACGAGGAAAGCCAATGTAGAACTTCGTGAGCAAGGGAAGAAGATTCTTCGTATTTAGAATTTTTACCTCATGTCATACATGAGCTCTGCGTGGGTTAAGGCGCTCATCTCTAAAGGCACAGGACGGCCTCTCAGGAGAATGAGCCCACGGAAGAGCGAAAACATCGAGAAATGAAAACCCTCTCCTCCTCAGATGTCTGTTTTTATTAAGATTTCTTGACGCTCTGTCATGGGGTGTGCTGGCTGAGGAATTGTGCTTTGCACAAAATTCGAAGTCGGGGTCAAAGGTAACTGGTTATATTCAATCAAAACGACGTTCTACTCACTGACTATAAGCAACCAAATCTTTTATATTGCCTTGTCAAGATTGTGTTGACTGTGTCCATGCTCTCAGAAATCTCTCTGCTTGAGTCTTTCAGTCTGAGTCTGCCCTTTTAGCTAAATGTGCACGCGTTGGCTCTGGCAAGCAGACGTAGTTAGCCTTTTAAAGAAATATACTAGACATGCTTTTGTATCGGGGCCAAGAATGTTAAGTAAATGATCATGTTTTCAGCTAGATGGGATGTTAGGCTCATACATGTGCACATGAGTGTCTGTCCCCTGCATCTAGGTGAATATTAGAATAAACTTCGAGTTGTGCTCTGTTTTAGTCTAAAACAGGTCCTGGTCATAAATGATGAAATTAGTTAGCTCCACTGGCATGCTGATCATGGATTTTGGTTGCTGGCTGTCGTTACCCGGCCATACAAGCAGTCCTCTTGTTTCCTGCTGGAGAATGGTGCTGTTCTGTTTGTCCCTGCTTCCTTTTGTTCATTCTGCTTTGACAGTGGTTCTATTGTCCCCAAGTTTGTCTCTTCTTCTCTAGTCTGTGAGGTCACTGTGAAGAAGCACTTTGCTTCACTTTTGACTGTGTTCTCTGTGTCTTCATAATGACTGACTTCTCTGGAGCAATATGAACATGTTGGCTGAAAGAATGAGCTTTTGATGGAGACAGCCCTGAACCTAGCAAGGCTGTGTGTCACAGAAAGCTCTCTTGGGGCTCTGAACATACACATGTGCTGGATCAAAGATAATCAAAGGAGGAGCTGTGTCAACAGAGAGGCAAACCCTTCAAAATGTAAGAACAAGGGGGTGTGTATATTCAGAGAGCCATGTATGGCAGGGAATCCATCCATACAACCGAGACACAACTTATATTTGGATGCATGGTCCTGGCATCAGACCATTGCCCTGGCAACCCATACTTTTGGGGCTTCTAAGGTACCACATAAACTGTTTTGACATTATATTCTTAGGACAGAACTCATGCTACAAATAACCCGGTATCAATGAAGGGAGGGGTTCCCCAAAGTCTCTTCTGACAACTGTGGTTTGTATAGAGGACAAAGGATGAACCACAGGTAACCATCAATGCACCTAATAATGTCTCCTTTTTAAACAAGCATAATTCTTACATCTCAAATGTTTTCTGGGTGCTTGGCAGTTGCAGATTTCCTCATACACAGAGTGGGAAGAAATTGGCAGTCAGAAAATAAATCTGCTGGAGATTTCATATTTCTTCATTTTGAGTAAAGCCAAGAGAAGTGTGGCTGTGAGCACCAGTCTTTCCAACTGAGCAAGAGATTCACTGACAGTCTTGAGTTGTACAAGAACTTGGGAGGTGGGGTTGGGGAGCTTTGCTTTATAGGGAAGGCGGCCCAGCTTCTGTTCAGCATAATCACAGCTAACAAGTTCATTGTCTGAGTCAGTGTTTCTGAGGCTGGCAGCCCTATGACATTGGTTCCTGGTCCAGGCACTGCCCATCCCTTCACGTCCAGCACTCAGGGACCTGATATGAAGGAGGCTTGACTGCCTGGATCCTCACCTTCCCTGTAGCATTCATTAGTGGTGCACAAGAGAGTGAGAGCGAGAGAGGGGGAGATGGAGAGAGCAAGCGCGAGAGAGCCAGAGAGATGAATAAGAGAGACAGACAGCCTGTTCCACATGTAGGGTGGGGACAACTGCCTCTCTTCTACCTCTCCCAGGTAGATGTGGTCAGAATCGGGTGAACCAGGTGTGTGGAAGAACTTCATTACCTGATGTGTTGCATGGCGGAGGTCCACAGCTGTGTGCCCACTATGTTCTGTGGAAAGTGCTGAGTGGGGATTGGACATTGATGCTCACTAAAATTCCTTCCTCCTGCAGCGTACATTAATGTTCTTGCATTGAGAATTAAATGAACTAGTTGTTCTCATCTGTATTTAGTGGATGGGTGTGTTGCCCTGAAATGCATCCCTTTGGGTCTTAGACACACATTTGGAGGGGTGAGATGCTGCCATTCTGAGAACAGACTCCAGGTGAACAGATGTGCCCATCTACTCCAAATACTTGATAGTTCTGGGGCATGTTTGCCCTAAAGTCTCTGAGATGTTGCCTGTACTAGTGGGCCCCTTGCCCTTGTCTCTTCCCCTTCAATTTTTCCCTCTTCCTCCTAAGTAGTGCTTAAAATTCATTTAACTATAATGGGACTCTGAAATTCACCATAGACTCAGGATTCATGGCTGCTACTTATAAGCTATGTGACTTTGACAGAACCCTTAACCTTTCTTTGTAGATTCTGAGTTTACAGTGCCCATGTCACAGTCATCATATGTATGGAAATGCCTGTGTCAGTTGATTGACAGGAGCTACCTGCTGTGTCCCATTGTGCTTGTTAGTCTCCTGGTCTTTGTCCAAGAATTCTGTGACCATGAGAACCAAGTTATTGTTTAAACCCATGGAAGGACTTCCTATAAAGGAGACGTTGAGTCCCTTGTTCTGGCTGGGTTCCCAATTAGGAGCTGTGTGAGTACCACCTTCCCAGGACCCTTCCATCCTGAGGACAAGAGGGTTGGGTGAGGTCCTGGGTCAAAGGAGTTCCAAGGAAAAGCTGGGCTTCAAGGCAAAGCTTTTAAATGCTGGGGCAGCTGTTCATAATCTGGTATCCCACTCCCCTCTCTGGTGGCTTTACTTCCCTGTTATTTATTGAGGTTTGTGTCATTCAACTATGGCTGCAGCCACTATAGTCCAACTGGAAGAATTCATGCCCTTCAATGCCTCAGAACTTACTGTCCAAACTGAGACATGAGTGAGCAAGATCAGTTAGTAAAAAACATGACAGCAGTGCCTCGGGTAGATTATGCCAGGGGTCACACTGCCCACGAGTATGGAAGATTTTAGGGAAGATTTTACTTTTGGTAGCTTCATCCCCCGACTGCTGACAGCATCTCTGTGTAGCCCTGTCTGTCCTGGAATTCTGTAGACCAGGCTGGCCTCAAACTCATAGAGATCCACCTGCCTCTGCCCCCTGAATGCTGGGATTAAAGGCGTGCATCACTAACTGCCACCTGAGGGTTTTGTCTTTACATAGTCCTTTCCAGAGATTGGTGAAATCATAAGACAAGAGTGTGGACCCACAGGAAGGGCCACCAGCTCCAGGTCCTTAGCAGAGCTGGTGGCAGGCACTTAGAGTATTCAGTAGGAAACTGACTGTCCCTGTCATCTCTCTACCTCTGGGGTCTGACTGGCTGCAGCAAACGGCTGGCTGTGGCAAGATGGCTGTCACGAGATCTGTATTTCCACTTCATTCATCACAAGCTGAAATAGACGCCCAGCCTGAATAGTGATGTGCAAGAAACAACAAGAATTGAACGTGGGCAACACAACTTGGCTCAGCAGTTTCAAAGGACCCTGCCACTCAATCCCTACAGCCATCCTTCAGGAGAAGTGCTTATTCCATGTTGTAGATGAGGAAACTGAGGTGTAGGCAGTTGCCCCGCCTACACAGCCAGTATGTGGGCAGATCCATACTGTCCATCATAGGCTCCATCCTGGATGAGCTTGCTCCCCAATAGGGACTGCAGAGCATACCCTGCTGCACAAACCATGGTAACGCAGACACACACGGAGCCAGGAACACCATGCGGTACAAGGCTGAGTGAACCTTCAGCTTCCTCACTGTCCGCACTGCTGTCCACTGGCTTGCAGGAAGCCTGCTCCCTCGTGCTTTCCTTCGACTTTGTCTCACCTGTCAGTGTCAGCAGGTTCTCTATGACCTTTCTCCTCCCGCTAATGTTGAGAACTGGAGGGAATAGGGCTATATTCTCTATAGTTGACTAGCAGGAAACATGTGGAAACTGGGGAAACTTCAGAAAGTCAAGTGTAGGAAGGCAGATGTCAAGGCTTTCAGGCAAACTATGTGTAAACATTTCCACGGATTTCTCTAGGACTTCCTTCTGACTGGTCTCCACTGAAACTCGTTCTGGAAAAGGGCTTGAAATGTTTGGCCACTTTCCTAGGTAGGCTTACACAAACCACACATCAGAATAGTATAAAGATGGATACTTATTGCAGAATTGTGTCTACTAACAAGATTTTGTTTGTATCAAACATTTACATACTTGCTTTTTTTTCCCTCCTGGAATAAGAGATGAATCAGATTGGTTGAAGACAACTGCTGTTTAAATGAAAGCCTGTCAGCCAGCTGGACTATTGGAAAGATTTACCTGTCCTCAATGTAGGACCGACTCAAATAAGAAAATTAGGACACCGAGTCCAAGATTTCCTTCTTTAACAGTACTTCAGGTATTTTTGTTTGTTTGTTTTTTTCTTAAATGCCAACTGGTTTGAGTTCCACCGCCATTAGTAGTAAGTGCAACCTAGAGGAACTAATAAGCCTTGTGGCCTGCTGGTGCAACACATATAAAGATAAGGTCCCTCCATTTCAAGGACATGCTTTTCTGCTGTGATACACAGAAAAGGTCAGAGAGGTCCAGCTGCATTGTGTAAACACCCCAGGAATTCCAAAGTCTCCTGATTGACCCTCAAGGTCTGAGGTTCTACCATAAGTCCATCCAATAAATGTCCTGAGAGAAATCTTGGAGAGGAGTTCTGTGCATTTTGAGGTGGTAGGAGTGTGCTTCTAAAACAGATCAATATGAGCTGTAAATTCAAGAGTGATAGAGCAGGGTAAGCGGGGAGCTCAGCAAGAGCAGGGACATGCTCCCAGGTCCAGGGCTGAAGTGGTGCAACCTTGTTGAGTGTCAGACACCAAGCAGAACTCAAAAGTCCAGGAAAGGGCCAGGCTGCCCTTTGGTGCTCACAGTGGAAGAGCACAGGGATACCCTGCTGCGATAGGAAACCATAGAGAGTTGTGATTTGCATGTGTCCACAGGCGTCCGTTCAGCTCATTGAGCTGATAAAATGGATTTTCTCACTGCATTGACTGCTTGTCACACAAAATTGCAGAGCTGATAGGCTGGCTCAGTGTCTTGCAGATATGGCCACAAACTCCAATGACTCAATCACGTCCTAAAAAAATAAATTCTAAAAACTAAGTTTGTATGACCCTGCAGGCTCCCAGCCATGTGCAAAATGTTGGTGAGTGCTAAGAACAAAAGTTGTTATCAATGGCACTGACAAACGTGTGCTATACAACAGTTTTAGGTAACAGACAACTTGATTGAACTTAGCCTGGTTTGACTGAGGATTACAGCAACGGTAACTAAAGACATTGCAAATGTATTCCCTGCTTTGCATTCATTAGGTCAGCAGTTTGCTTCTTTCTTCTCTGCTTTAACTGTCTTCAAGTTTTGTAGTTCCTGTAAAATTAACTGAATGTTGGGACCAAATTTAAAGGAGCCTGTGACACTCATTAAGCAAATGCTGTTTCCATAAAACAGTGTTCTTGCTTGAACTGCTAGAAAATATTTGCAGTTTTAAGTCTATGAAGAAAATAAATACACCCTGCTTTCAAGTAGGCTATGCATGATGAGAACTACAAATGATGCTAGTGCCACTCATATTACATTAGAGAAGTCCCTGCCATTAGGAAATGTTATCTTATGTAAAAAGTTGATAATAGGATACAAAGATGCTAATACGGGTAGGTGATGAGCTGATAATGGGAAGTTTTCTCATATCAGTGATTTTCATTTGTCACCAGCAAAGCTGCTCTCCCTAATATGATATTATAATAAAATCCAGGCAGACAGTCAGCGGTGAAATTTATGATGCAAAAGAAAAGTCAATAGCATTATAAATCTTATAATATGATTATATTTCAACTGTCAATGTTCTTGGCTGGGAAATCTCCTTCAGTTCCCCTATCATCTTAGTCTTATTTGCTTTAGTGATACTGAGCAAAGAGATGAAGAAGATTTAAATCTTTATCTTAAGGATAACTTTAATGAGTGGCAGTTGATGCCATATGGCCAAATAGCCACAGGTTTACCACCTTTGCTTAGCTAAACTCTATCCAATTAAGTGCACATTTGAACACAGTAGTTGGTAGGATAGAACCAGCAGAAGGTAAGTTTGGAGGGATATAACCAATGTTTCCTGTGATTTGATGCCTTTAAGCAATAAATGACTCCCTAAGCATGTGGGATAGCTTTTGAGTTTCATTAGAGGAGTGCCATAGGCCTGTAGCATAGAAGTCCTTCTTTGCAGTGAAAATGGAGTCTAGTCAATGAGAACTTTTGAAAAATCATCTCTCTGGAGAGAATAGGGGATAACAAAGCAATGCAATTTAGCAAAGCCACAAAGTCATCAATTACAATCTCTTGGGTTTCAGCAAAACCACATACACTGTATTAATTAGAATCTGGCTAGAGAGTTTCCCGTAATGTCAGCACCCTGGAGGAAGTCCCAAAGGGACCTGGCAGTCCTTGCAATCTGTTTGCCTCTAGGAATGTGAAACACAGTGTTTCCCTTCTGTTTGTAAGTCAGGAAAAACTTAGACTGTAAATGTTGGTCTCAAGAGCATAAGATGTACCACGATAGGATGCCAAAGTCTTAGAGTGAGTCCAGCCTCAGTGCCTAACACAGTGTGTACACATTCATTGTTCAGTGGAAAACTTAGACTGTAAATGTTGGTCTCAAGAGCATAAGATGTTCCACGATAGGATGCCAAAGTCTTAGACCGAGTCCAGCCTCAGTGCCTAACACAGTGTGTACACATTCATTGTTCAGTGTTAACACATAGTTCAAGTATAAGAGAGTGGAGTGCAGGCAGCTCAGCAAATCTCCAAATTTAAACGAAGGATTGAGAGAAATGCTACCATGAGAGTGTCTGTGTACTGGGTCTGATGTGTAGCGAGGCCTTCCACAGTTATTCAGAGATAGGCAGATACTCTCGGCTGTATTCTAAAGAAACTGTGCTTTGGGGACAACAGGAGACTTTTGTTAGGGTTTACTTCACTCACAACACACACTCACACACCCCCTTGTCTCCAGTAGGAGAGCCCCAGTGTTTATTGAAGTGGAAGGCACAGCTCTTGTTGGATTTGGAGTATGGAGGAGAAACCTCACACATTACGTACGTACGTACATCGGGCTAGTTCACCCTACAAGACAGCCACTTGCAGTTGCCCCTCCAGGATAGCCACTTTCGTAGTTCATGCTACGTGCAAGCCACTTGCATTTCACCTTACATGACAGCCACTTGCATAATCCAGAGTCAGAGAATCCTTCATTTCTCTCTCTCTCTCATCAAATAAACATTTGAATTTGGTGAAATTTCCATGTAAAATTTTCTTTGGGCTCCTATTTTATCCTAATATTCCCTATGTTAAACTTGGACTAAGTTGAGGCCAGAGGCCACACGGCACCATTTTTCTCTCCAGGTGGGAAAGTGTGGTTAGGAACACTTGAAGGGACAGCTCCGGGGCCAGTTGTGTTGTTTCTGTGAACTTCCATTGCCCCAGAGAGTTGACCTCATGTCCTCCCTTGATTTCCTGTCTCTTCCACCTTCCCTGGCTGCTCTGACCATGCAGGCTGCTATAATCTTTGGGTTCCTCGTGTTGTGCTGCAGCCCCTCATATCTGCTTTTCTTGAGTCCTAATCTAACCCCAGTGCTCCAGGGGTCTCGGATTCTGCTTCTGGGCCAGTTTTGTCTAAAGGAATATGACAGGTAGTTCAGAGTGCCATCATCATGTGTGATTAGTTTGTCGAGGCCAGAATCTGACATCCGTGCCAGGTAATAGGGTATTCAGAATCTTTAAAATAGATACTTGGGTTGGAACTCTCTCCTGCTTTCTGTCTTTCTTTAATATTTGTGCTTCTGTATTCTGTCAATTATCTGGGAGGAAAGAACCTTGGCTGAGGAATTGCCTTCATCTGATTGGCTTGTAAGCATGTCTGGCTTTTGATTATTGATAGATGTAGAAGGGCCAAGCCCACTGTGGGTGGTGCCACCCCTTGGGCTGGTTGGTTGTGGTGGGAGATTTTAAAAAGCTACTTGAGCATGAGTCTGGGAGCAAGCCAGTAAATAACATTCCACCATGGTCTCTTCTTCAGGTCCTGCCTCCAGGTTCCTGCTTGAGTTCCTGCCTTGACTCTCTTCAATGAGACGTTGTGATGGGGGAAATGTAAGCCAAATAAACCCTTTCTTCTCCAAGTTGGTTTTGGCTGGTGTTTTATCACAGCAATAGAAAACAACAACAAAAAAGACAATGTCATAGTCATTAAATTATGTTTGCTATAATTTTTTCCACAAACAAGTGACAAAATATATTATTCCAATGAATTTCTTGGTATGGATAGTTCCAAGCCAGAAAATGGTACTGCTTTGAAATAATCCCATCCCTTTAAATCAATACCAATTAAAGGAGGGAAAGCGTTTAGGGAAGTGGTTCTCAACCTATGGGTCATCACCCCTTTGGGGGTAGAATGGCCCTTTCACAAGGATCGAACATCAGATCTTAACATATCAGATATTTATATTATGACTCATAATAGTAACAAAATTATAGTTATAAAGTAGCAACAAAAATAATTTTATTGTTGGGTCTCAGCATTTGCCAAAGACTATGTCTGGGTTCGTGGTCCTACTTCAGCTGCTAGGGTCTTTGTTGAAGGCTGAGGCCCATGTTGCCACCAAAGGTTACACAGAAGCCTGGAGTCAGGGCTGCAACCTGTGGCCTTGTTGACGCTCAGGGCTGTGCCACCACAAGAGCCATCCTGATCTGAGTGACCTGTGCTTACACCTGAAATCAAGGTGTCATCTGGGCCAAGCTCCTGCTGTGGGCCATGTCTGGGTCCGTGGTCCTGTTGCAGGTGTGGCCTGTGTCACCTCAGGGGCTATAGGAACTATGCATGATGAAATCAGAGGGCCATGCTGAGCTGGTCCTGTCCTTTGCTGACCCTGAGACAGGTGGCCCTGCCCTCACTGGACACTGCAACAAGAGAGCTGGCTCTAACCCTCACAAAAGAGCTGGTGTGTGTGTGTTCCTCCCCACCCCCCCACTCTCAGGAGTGTTGACCCCTCCCCTTAGCATAGGTGAGGGAGAACTGACTCTGATGGCATGGGTGTAGGTGAGATGGACTCCCCCCCCACTCTCAGGAGTGTTGACCCCTCCCCTTACCATAGGTGAGGGAGAACTGACTCTGATGGCATGGGTGTAGGTGAGATGGATACTCCGCTTGCCTGAGGGGAGCAGCCCCAGTGGTCTGGACTGACCAGCTCAACTACAACTGAGGCCCATAGCCAGGTCTGCGGTTGGCACACCCTAACATTTACTCCCTATAGGACCTGCTGGAGCTCATGAAGGGACTGTTCCTGTGGAACAACACCCTCCAGATTCATGACTTGGGTGGTTTCAGGATATCCAAGAGGAGTTTTGGTAAGAATCCAGTGAGGATGGTGTACCAGAAACCAGAGGCCTTGAACCAGACAAAGGACTCATTGCAATGAACGTTTGCAAATAAAGCTGACTGGACAAAAGAGTATACTGTGTGGACACACCAAGGCTCCCAGTGTCACCAGGATGAATGAAGAGGTCTTGGAGAGGCAGGAAAAACAGAGGAGAGAAGGTTTTTTTTTTTTTTGTAAATTTTTCCTTTTGTTACTGTTTGTTTGCTTGTTTTGTTTTGACTTTTAAAAATTTTCTTTTGGGGGTGCTATAGGGGTGAGGAGAGGATATGGAGGAACTGGGAGGTGAGTGGAATTAGGGTTTGTGATGTAAAATTCCCAAAGATTCAATAAAGAAATTATATTAAATAGATTAAAAAAGGGTCACAGCGTTAGGTTCTGTGGAACGATCGTTTCTACACTATGAATATGTATTTCTCTCATTGGTTAATAAAAAGCTGACAGGCCTGTAACTGGGCAGGAGGCAAGGTGGGAAAGCCAAACTGAGCATTGTGGGAAGAAGGAGGGCGGAGTCAGAGTAGACAACAGCCAGCCAGTTGCCCAGCAAGCAGGACATGTAAAAAATGAGATAACAAGCCATGAGCCACAAGGCAAAATATAAATAGAAATATGGGTCAATTTAAGTGTAAGAGTTAGCTAGTAGCAAGCCTGAGCTATCAGCTGAGCATTTGTAGTTCATATGCAGCTTCTGAGTTAGTTATTTGGGGCAGGGCAGTGGGGACAGGAAATGTCCATTTACAATTAGGAAGGTTGAGAACCACTGGTTTAGGGTGTGGGAAAGAGGGATGTTTGGGAAGAGCTATTTCCAGACACCACAGCAATTACAAGATGAGACTCTCTGAGTGCTGGGTGTCAGCACACAGCTTTTGCCATCCTTGATTGTAGTCTAGACAAGCGCTCTCTCACTGAGCTGGGACCTCAGCCTCTCTGGAACACAGTCTGCCACTGGTTGGTTTCGAGGTGCAGCATTGTGTTAGTGACTTTTCTCTTGGTTATGCAGCCAGCGTAGGGATTCTAATTAAGGCTTGTCTGGTAGCATAACTTGTGCTCTTAATCATTTTCTGAGCCAGTTTATATGTTTTTCATGACATGCTTGGAAAATTAGTGAATGAAACTTGTGCTACAAGTAAGTTCATCTAGTCTTTCAATACGTTCGTATTTTATCCACTACACAGGGGAAAACACTAGAATAATAGCAACGCACCCACAGTGCAGTCACAGAGTCTACATCCTTCTCCGTGAGGCACAGGTTGACCTGGTGAAGTGTCTGACTGACAGCATGACACTGTGTGGTTTCAAAGTGGAGGCTATGAGATGCTTTCCTGAGTCTCCCACACATCAAATACTCTGTTACTGGGGATTACCTTTTGTAGTTCCCCAGCTGGGAGAAGCCCCTTCTATACAGAGACCTGCATGGAGGCAAAATACACCTGGCCCAGATACCCCTCCCTGCTAGGAGCCAAAAGTAGGCAGCCATGTGAAAGCAGTGTCTTGTATATGACCGCTCAAGCAAATCCAGGTAACTCCAGTAGTTTTCAGCTGCTGCCATCTGACCTGTGTGAATTAGGAGAGGGTTAATTTGCTTTATGTCTTTAAATCTTGACGTATCTTGTCACATAGTAATAGACACCCAAACACACGTCTATGTGGTAGTATTCTTTTGGCAACCAGCATTTATTTCAGGCTCCAGGCTATAACCTTGTCTCCCTGTGATGAGCTTTTTGAGACATGAGACCTTCCTTTTTATTTCAGGCTCCAAGCTATAACCTTCTCTCCCTGTGATGAGCTTTTTGAGACATGAGACCTTCCTGGGATGCTTTCTAGAACGATCCAGCCCAGTCCTGCTGATGACTTGATTTCCAGCCTTGTGCCGGGCAGTATTCTCACCTCACGGAGGAATGAAGATACTTGTGGGAAGTTGAGTTAAAATGCAGGTGCATACATACACAAACATAGACACACAAAAACATACTGCTCAGATGGCTTCAGATGAACACTATGTATTCAAGTGGCATTTGAAAGTAGTGAGTCATTGGATTTCTTTTTTCCAGAGACATCAGATCGCATGTTTCAGCATGTGCCTTCCATGGGCTTCTGGGTTGCTTCAGTTTATGCCTGTAATTAATATGAGATTTCAGAATGCAATAAATAAAAACCAAGGTGTAGCCATCTATGATATTATTAAAAGAGTGCATATAGTCATTAACTAGCAATCAGAATATCTAACAAGATACTTGATTATAATTGGTGCTATATTTTAAATATTTCTCTCCTTGCCATACTGACTTACATAAAATGTTTTAAGATTATTTTTACTTTTTAAAAAATGACCCACAGCTTTGATTTGGTTAAGTCTTTTGGTTTTAATAATAGCACTTATTTGTTGAGTGCATGTGTGCCCTTTGCTGTGGCGTATCTTTATGCAACCCCTCAGGGTAGTTATCACTTTGCCGTTAATGATGGAGAGACTGAAGCCTACGGGTTTAAATCATTCGCTCAAGGTTACTTAGTAAATGCAAAGCCAGGGTTGGTTCCACGGTCCAAACGTGATTCCCAGCTGTATTCTTTCTGTCTTCCTGTAGCTGTACCGGCTGTTGCCCTTCTAAAAGCTTCTGATTCAAAAGGCAATTTGTAATGAAGAGCCAGAGTGGAACTGGGGTTTTAAAGGCACTGCTTGCCCTTTCAGGTATAAAATATTTTGTTAGAAGCAATAACAGCATAATTACAGCAAATGTCTCTACCTCCACTGTCACTACTGCATACGGTCTAGGTTATGGGTTCGAAATTTCACTGATTATTGGTGCGTAATTGGCTTCCTGTAGATGATAAATGTATTCCTGATTGATTATCGTGACTCGGTCATATCTGAAATGTCAAAGTAGAAAATTGAATTGTCTTATTATCGCATGTTCTCATTCAAGCACCAGATAAATATTACAAATGATGATTTTCTACCAAGTACCATATAAAGAATTTATGGAATATTAATAATACTGTTATCCACAACCTTCATGCTTGGTGAATGACCCCAAACTGAAATCATGTTTGACTTTTGAGAAATAAACCTTACAAATGATCTGCTTTGACCTACTCCTTTGCTGCCTAGAGTTTTACAGGATAAATATTCTCAGGGACTATCCTTGCCTCTGTTAGCAAGAATTGGACATTTATGACTGCTTGATATTGCTTTTTCTTTGTCTCATCCTCTTGCTGCCCATATTCTTCTGCCTGGCAAGGTAACCACTGTGCTAAAAAATCCCATCTTCACAGACAGCCATGGAGTTGTGAGAGACTGAGGCTCAGTCCCCAGCTCTCAACATGGCTAATGTCTCACAGCTTTAAATAAAAGACTGTTTTTGCCTGCAAAACCTTTCTGTGCATTTACTGTTTTCTGCTGAGTCCAAAGCTCACTGCTGTTTTCAGGGTGGGGTCCTATTTCTAGAAACTGGATAAGAGGAATCTAGAACAAACACCTTTGAGACAAACTCCAGCAAGAGGTCTCAGCCTGGGAGAGTGAAGCTGCTCATTGCTTTGACAAGATTAAAGCAATTACTAATTACACCAACTGTTGTCTGTAGACTGAATTTAGCTCATAGTCAAATGCTTGTTAGGTCAATATATAATATGCAGGTATGTATTTGCTAAAATGAAAGTCATTTCAAGATAATGCTGATTATATAATACCTTTCAATATATATTTCTTCTTATATGTATGAGAGCTTGTCCACA